GAGCACAATGATCCTCACAGAGGAACCAAAGAGTGTGAACCGCCAAAAGAATTTTGGCTATCTATATTTTACAGCTTGTGCTGTCCATAGGATTCTCTCTATGTAAGGGTGTCAATGGACCGGTTTTGGATTGGATCTCGTCCAGTCCAAAATCAATTTGGACGGATTGGATGGACCAAGAAGACATATTGGATTGGACCAATCCGGTCTAAAATATTTATTATATTGGATTGAACCTGCTCCGTTTGTAACAAATTTATCTTGGATTGGGTTGGATTAAGCCAATATCTGATCCATTGATATAAGATAAGATATGTGTCAATGGACCGGATTTGGGTTAAAACTAATCTAAATCAAAATGAATTTGAACAAATTGAATGGTCTAGAGGTCCAAATTAATCCAAAACATTAGAATGGATCGAATTGGACCTGGTTCATTTATAATGGACTCACATTGGAGTGGATAGGATTGGACCAGATCCAGTCCAATTGACACCCCTATCTCTATGGGGGTATTAGTCCATATGAACTCCATGCAACAGCACAGACTGTATAGGTCTGTCAATCCCAGGTAGACAAAGTTTTCTCGTATTTGCTTATATCTAGAAGAAAACTGAAAAGCTAAAAGCCTAAAACTCACTAGCTTGATTAAAAGCTTGGATCTCCTGAAATCAATAATTTTACGCATATAAAATTCAACTTCATATTGGGAATATCTAATGTACATGTACATTAAATTTGGAGAAAGATTCTTTCTTCCCAATTTGCAGCTGAATGCCAATACTTTCAGAGTATATGCAGAGATTTTGCTTTCACGGATCCCGTCACCCGCAGACCCACAATAAAAGAAACCATTATTGTAATTGCCGACAGCATGACCACAACATCGAATATTATCGAATCAGCATATGTTAACAAAGACCCACAGGAAAACTAAGGGAGGTGTATTGCTGCTGATTGCTGAACAAACAGAAATGCAAGTGCGATGGAAATGCAGGCAGTCAGTAACATCATAAGAGAGATCAAGGAAAGCACAATAGTAGTAATTTCTTGATATGAGAGGTTTTTAGATTTGAGATTGAAGTGCACTGAATTTTTTCTTTCATTGTCTCACACTAAATAATGTAGCCTAAAGTGTTGACCGGCAAGGAGAAAAAACAAGTATCCATTATTAAGTAGCAGTTAGTGGATTCCATCAGCCTATTAGGCAATTTTGGTTCTATTTTCTTTTATCTAATATCTTTAGATAAAAGAAAAAATTATATTAAAAAAGAAAGTGTGGTCTACAATAAAGGAGTTGCTGTTGCATGTCTCACCCACTTTCTTAGGCCAACAAAATAGTTGTTTAGAATCAACATGCTTCCATGTAAGTGATTTTCTGATTTTATATATTTTGAAAAAAAAAAAGAAATTTGAAGGGGGTAGGATTATGGATGGGAGTTTTTTTAGGAGACGTTTATAATTTGGAATTATTGTAGGTTTACAGTTAAAATCAGAATCCTAAGGGAGAGTGCAGTCTAAAAATCCTTTCTTTAAGGGTTGCAATATATCCATATACATGTTATACAAACGGTTCATTAGTGGGTGTATATAATTGGTGGGTCCTCAAACTTCTGCCAGCCCATCCCACTTCACCCAATTGCCACCCTTATATGACTTTAGAAAAGATATAACAATCTAATAAGTATCTGACCAACTTCAATAATAAATAAATATTAGTTTTCTTTCAAAATATGAATTTATATCTAAATATTGTTGGGTTAGGCTGGATTATACACAATCGATTACAAATGGACTGGTGTCATTAATTGAACCTGATTTGAATTCAAATTCAATTAAACAGATACGATTTGAAGCCCCAGGTCCAAACCACAACTGTAGGTCCTATACTTGGAGAACTATTCTACTTCGTAAAGAAAAAGTGGCTTCAAAGCTTTTTAGGTTCAATCTATTTCAAGAGGTAGAAACTTTTAGTTATATCTCTACTATCTGATGGTGAAAGTTTGTTTTCATCTATATTGCATCAAACCAATATAATTGAACCTAAAATAAATCTCAATTATATATCTAATAGTCAATATGTAGTAATCACTTTTGCATTTGGTACCCAATTTTTTCAATTGCTTATTTTTTCAAATAGTCTTTTTTTTTTTTCTAATAAGCACTTAAATAAGCATTGGTGACTATTTTATCCTTTTTTTTTTAATTTCAAAATATACTCTTTGAACGCACTTTTAAAAAAATACTTTTATGAAAGCACTTCTACAGAAGTATTTTTATAAAAGTACTTTTATGAAAGCACTTTTACAAAAGCATTTTTTATAAAAGTACTTTTACAAAATCACTTTTAAAAAAGTATACGAAAGCAATTTTATGGTCATAAAAGTACTTTCACAAAAGTGCTTTCGTAAAAGTACTTTCATAAAAGTGCTTTCGTAAAAACACTTTCACAAAAGTACTTTCGTAAAAGTGCTTTCATTAAAGTACTTTCTTAAAAATGCTTTTGTAAAAGTATTTTTATAAAATGCATTTTATAAAAGTACTTTTGTAAAAGTGCTTTCAATAAAAGTATTTTTATAAAGTTCAACTAGGGATAATTTTATAAGTGGTATTTTTAAAATTCAATTAGGGATAATTTTAGAAGAAAAAAATTGAATAAGTGCTTATTGTATTAAGTGGGAATTTGGGCTTAAAAAATAAGCCCTTATTTTTAAAATAAACACTTATTTTGAGCTTATTTCCCAAATACCAGTAAGTGCTTAATGGCCCAAATAAACATTTATTTTTAAGCACTCCCAAACATGGCCTAAATGTAATGACAAATCCCAATACAAAAAATTGGTGAAATTTTCCAACTAATATAGCTGAAAATTATTTTGTTGGTATATATACTTAAATGGTTGTCAATTAATTAACGACTTCTCATAAATCTGTTGTTGTAATGAATGTTAATAATTCTTGTTTAAATATTGATAACAAATCCCAATACAAAAAAATGGTAAAATTTTCCAAATAATATAGTCAAAATTTTCTCCCATGATATTAATACATGCAAAATTATTTATTTGAATGAAACAAAATTAGCACAAAAAAATGTCAACTCTTTTTTTATAATTATAATTTCATTTTTTTTGTAAAATCTAAGATGACAAAATAGTTGTTCATGTAAAAGTAAGTTTACTTGGAATATTTTGTCAATTAAATTTATAATAAATTATCATTTATACAAAATAAAATATTTGCATGTTGATATAAATTAAGTTTTTAAACATGTATATAAGAAAGTTGTGCTAATAATGGGGTGACCTGTAATCATTTTGTTAATTGCATAGCTTAATTTAGGGGCGATATCATAATTAATGCAAAAAAACGGTACCAATTAATCAAGACCATTTAGGGGTGCACAACTGGCCCAGTCCAGAAATTTCTGGGCTCAGCCTGTAATTTTGTGTGCAGCATCAGACCTGTAATTTTATGATCCAGGCCGGGCTCAGCCTCACAATACATTCATAAATTACATATATAATATATTTTAATAGTATCATCCAACGCCAATGCTTGCAAATAGTGGCTGTCCAAATGCTTTGTTTACCAAATCCAATCATTGAGATAAGAGTCCTTTTCTATCTTGTTGTAATGATGGTTGATTAAATATTTTAATATTTGAATCTAATCATTTAGTTAAGATATTTCTTAAAGAAGTATAGCGGTAATTTTTCAAAATTTAAATGAATTTTCATTTTTTTTAAACATTTTAGCTTTTGAATCTCATTATTAAAAAGTAACAAAAAAAGTAAAAATCTAAATATCTTTTCATCTTTTTACCCTTTTATCTTTATTCATGTACATAACATATTCATGGGCCAGGGCCCGGGCTGGCCATGGTCCAATGCGGGCCAAGCCCAGCCCAACCATGATAACCCACCCCTAGTAGAGATATAAATATGGAGATAAGAATAAAGAAAACATAACTTATGGGTAAAGTATATTCCTTGGGCTAAAATCATGATAACCTCCATCAAAGGTGGTGCTGAAATATTTATATAATGATGTGCTTGAGCGAAACATGAAAAGTAGCCATCCCAACCCTCTTCATAATTGTTTTATAAGAGACAAATAAATAGATAATTCAAAAAATCATTTCAACCGATCCAGCCATTTTTAGAAGCTCCCTTGGTCCCTTAGAATGAGATCGACTTGGAATCTTGGTAGGCTGAGGCTGATATCCAGGTTGGGCTGGGTGGTGGTTATTGGAGATCAGAAGATTTATCAAGGTTGTTAGTAAAACTACACTCTAAGTGATGTTGTTAGAGTTGGAGTGTTGTTGGATTAGGAAGTTGGCAAATGGCAAGTTAATTGGCTCGTTCTTACGTTACATGATAGTGTGGAACCACCAGAAAGGCGGAAGGTTTGTACTTTGTATATAACAGTTGTGTACTGCTTGCCAGTTGTCACTTTGGTGGTGGAACCCACCACCCCCACGGAGTCCATCAGAGTTCACATATGCGCCACGGGCGCCCCACAATACCGCACAGCACATCTCCACATTGTATTGGGAATATCTACCGATAATAGAACGGGAGATGATGAGACATACAAGGTGGGGTGGGATGTGCTGAGGGGCGCAGATGTAAATTCAGCCGATCACAGAATACGTATCCACAAAGGCAGGCTGAGGCTCCACATTCTGCTGCAACTCCACAACTGTCGAATTTTACAAAGGCGTCATCTATTGTGGTTCAATCGGATATTTGCATCGTTGATTGCCATTTCAGTCAAATCTCGATTTTGCCCTCTCCCTTCAATGGATTGTCATTTTTCTTTGGTAGAAAGATTGTCGCTTCAATCAAATCTCAGTTCCCAATGCTACTTTTTTTGGTTATTTAAAATAAAAATCCAGTACCATCATCCGTAAATTCTTCGACATGCAGGGGTGTCTGTATCCTTGTCCCCTTTACCTTCTCTTATACTCTATATATTATTATATATAACTATATAAGCCGTCTGCAACCGAACCGATATATAGCCAACTCGGCCAACCGAAACCGCCACCTCTTGCTGCTGCTTGAAGACTGAAGAGAGACAAAGATGACAATCCCTGAAGGCCACCGCCGGCAGGCCAGGGTTCGGCCTCCAGCACGAGCTCCACCAGTTCGAAGCAGCGTGCCGTTAAAGCGGTTGTTCCGGGTGGCTTCTGTGGCTTGTGGAATTCAGTTCGGTTGGGCATTGCAGTTGTCTCTTCTAACGCCTTATGTTCAGGAACTCGGAATTCCTCACGCATGGGCCAGCCTCGTGTGGCTTTGTGGTCCCCTCTCTGGTTTACTGGTCCAGCCCCTTGTAGGGCATATGAGCGACCGGTGCAAGAGCCGCTTCGGTCGTCGCAGGCCTTTCATCGCTGCCGGATCCGTGTCTATCGTTGTCGCCGTTCTGATTATTGGACACTCTGCGGATATCGGTGGGATACTCGGGGACCGAGGGGGGTCTAGGCCGCGCGCCGTTGTTGCTTTTGTTATAGGGTTTTGGTTGCTTGACGTCGCTAATAACATGACTCAAGGACCTTGCAGGGCTCTCCTTGCCGATCTTACCGGTAGGTCTTCCACCTTTTTCTTCTCATCTTTTTATTTTTATTAATTAACAAAAAGAAAAAGGAAAATTCTTCTTCTCTGTTTCTCAATTACTTTTACTTTATTCAATCAAAGCATTATGAATTTAGAATCGTCGACTGCAAGTTACTTACTCATCATCTTCGAAATTAGAACCCTAAAAACCTTGCTTGTTTCTACTTTCACGAGAACTTCCTGCTTGCAGCTTGTGTATGCTCTTTTCGAAATTCTCATGCTTCTCAATATTTCCGCATGGATTTATGGAAATAACCTTTTCTTAATCCAAATTTACGAAAATAAACTTCACACCAGACGACGGGACGGGAGCAATACTATCATTTTTTTGGTAGGCCGTAGGCAATGGGAGGAATTATTGGTTTTCCTTATTTTAGGTCGTTTTTGCCTTTTGTTGGTCCTGATTCCTGAACCGTTGGATTTGGAAGGAGTAATGTGGTGTAAAATATCCTAGGATAAAAAGTAAGGAGATGCTGGACCTAGGAGAGGAGGAGGACGACGTTTTCCGTTGCGGTGTTTATTTGATAGAGGGCCCTCATTGAGAGAATGGCCCATTAAGGCCCACTATGTCTATCGTTCGTTGTAACCTTTTCTCTTTCTATTAGTGTGAGCCAGTTGTGAAAAATACGGGACCCTGTAGTTGTGCTCCTTATTTCTGCCCATAACCGCTGACGTGTACATATTGATTGGTATTATAGAAATTGCAGATAAATAGAGGTTAATATGTGGCCGGTGATGGGTGGGGCCGGTTGTCGGTTGATCGATCAATTATTTCCTACTTTACCGTATCTAATCCGCACATTTGGACAGTCAAAAGGTTATATACACCAGGGAGGTTTATGTAATTTCAATCTGTTCTGATATGCATTTAAAAAAAAACTGATCTGATATCATCTTCCTCTCCCTAAGATTTTTTTAACTTCGTACATCACTTGGATTGGATGGGTGAGATGAGATTATTTATTCGGTTGCTCCGGGGGACCAATTTGGACTTGATTTTTGGATTGATTTGATGCTTTATTTGGATGACTTAGATAGCTAGATTGGTTGAAATTTTGGTGTCACTTGCATGGTTGAGATTTATCCATTGGTCCTAGGAGACTACTTCAATGATTTAGATGCTGATTTGGTACCTCATTTGGATGGGTTGAATTAGTTGAAATCTTGGTACATAATTTGGATGGATGAGATTAATTGGCTGACATTAGGAGGCCATTTTTGGCGGTTCAGATCTTTGGCTTACTTCGTATATCACTTTATTTGACATAATTCTTTTAGAAAACTTGATACTTAAATGGCTAAGATTAGTTGAAATCTTGGTACGTTGCTTGGATGGGCAAGATTAGTTCTTTTCTCTTAAGAGACCATTAAAAAAAAGAGAGAGATCATTTTGATGGTCTAGTTTTTATTTTTATTTTTTATTTTTTTGGGTTGATTCAATATATTGTTTGGATTGCCCATTTTTTTATCAGCATTTGGATAGCCCATATTTATTAAAATTTTGGTACACTACTTGGATGGCTGAGATTTCATTGATCTTAAGAGACCACTCTGATAGCCTAGATCTTTGGGTTGATTGAATGCGTTATTTGGATGGGAAAGATTAGATGAAATTTTGATACATCACCTACTTTAATGGCCCATATTTTGGGAGTTACTTGGTAGAGCATTTGATTGGCTTAATTTTTTAGAAAATTTGGTGCTTTACTTGGTAATTTGGTACACCATTTACTATATCGCTTCCATATCCTAGAATACTTGAAACCATTGTACATCACTTGGGTTTTCAAGATCAAGTGATTGATCTTGAGGCATGAGTTCAATGGTCTAGATCTTCAGTTAGAAATCCATGACTAGAAATCTCTTTCAGTAACATGAAATGGATATAAAAGGGTAAAAATCAAGATTATCTTCTACCATAACAGAAGGGCAGCTTGAAGCTGCAGATGATGACCTATCGATGGATAACAAGCTCTAAATTGTATTCAAAACACTCTAGAGAGGTATCAACCACAAGCCTGGATCAGGTGAGGGAGGGGGATATTTTGGATGTGGAACCAATGACAGTGATCAAAGGCATTTTTGAAGGGGGGCAATTCATCCAACATGTAGCAACAGAGGAAAGCAGCTTACCACCCATGCACTTCTATTGCCTATCATGGGTTGATGAAGTTGAAGCATAAAATAGGCTATCGATCAAAAAGGGAAGGCAAATAATAGACTGAGTAAAGGAGAATATAAAAGACATCAATCAATATCTTGGTGTATTGTTTGAGGGACATGAATATGAGGTTGTGGATCTATTCGAGTCAAATTGAAAAAATAATGGTTTAAGGGGAAGGCTGTCTAAATGCTTTACTGAAGAAAGGATCCAAGGTGCAACGGGAGAAGAATTGCTTCAATTCTCTGTATTTATTCTATGAGTTGTTTGTTGCATGCCTCTTTTTTGGTTTCTTACAACATTGCAATATGTGGCTTCCTTTAGGGTGTGTTTGGTTTGAAAGAAAAGGTAGGGAAATGTAGGAAAACCTATACAAGGTTCTAAAACCAAACACACCCTAAAGGAAGCCACATATTGCAATGTTGTAAGAAACTAAAAAAGAGGTATGCAACAAACAATTCATAGAATAAATATGGGGAAGAGGAAGATGCAAGTTTGTTTATAAATTGTTAGTGGATGCAAGTTTGGGTGTATACTCAATGGTGATTCAGCAATTGGTGTTTTTTCAATTGTCATTTGCTGCAAGAATATCCATGATGGTGTAGAATGGACTTGCATTGCAGTCAATGGCCCTAATATGAGTTACCAAAGGGGATGTTGCTGGGTAGAAATTGAATCTTTTTGCTTCCAGGTGGAACCTTTTAGTATGTATGGGAAGAGACTCTGACATTATCAGATTCTCACAAGAAATAAGTGGTGGTGCAAAGCTGTTGACGAGCATTGTTGAATTTGTAACAGATTGCAGCTAATAGGTCACCATTGCGTGAAGCAGCATACATGTGGAGCAGTTTCAGAGAGAAACTAACCTTATCAAAGTTAGACAGATATTCTTTTAGGAGATGTGAAAATCTATTTTCAGATGTGGTGCAAGAAGCCCTCATGTGCCCCACTTCTAATCATTGACCCATTCTACTGAAGATTGGCTCCCTATAGACAAGAAACCAGGTCCTTTTAGGCTTGAATTAATGCTATTCCAGGTTCCAGAATTTGAAATCAAAATGGAAGAGTGGTGGTAGGAAGCTCAAGTAACATGCTTTGCATGCATTGTCTTTTGGAGGAAGTTGGAGCATCTTAAAGAGAAAATCGAGGTGTGGAGCAAAGAGAATGTGGGCTGCATCAGAAGAAGAAGGGAGAAAGCCAATGAGTTAATTCAAGGTTTGGATGCAAAGGAGGAAACTGTTCCTTATTTGAGGCTGAGAAGCAAGAAAATCAAGAGATTAGTTTCTTGTCTTGCTCTAATGGAGGAGATCCCATTGAAGTAGACGTCCAGACTCTATAGTCCAGTGGCTCAAGGAAGGTGATAGAAACACTGACTTCTTTCACAAAGTGGCAAATGACAGGTGGAAATGCAACACCATTTCTAGCATAAAAATTGGGAATGATTGATATAAGGCAAGGAGGAGGTATCAGAAGCAACAATTAATTTCTATGAATGTTTTGGCAACCCAGACCCTTCAGGCATAGGAGGGATTTTCAGGGAACTATCTTAGCTTTATTGCCCAAGGAGATTCAACCAAGGCTGAACTGTCTGCTGTACTGTATTGGGTCCAATTAGCAGAAAAAATAAATTTCAGAAGGCTCTTAATAGAAGGAGATTCCCTAGTAGTAAGCTGGTTAAAGAATGGCAAGAAGGCAGCTTTGTCCTACCAAGATTTGGTAAAGAAAATAAAGTGGCATCTGAGAGGCGTAACAGTATCTTTTCAATGGGTTTCAAGGGCAGCTAATGGGATAGCAGATTCTCTAGCAAGGCAAGGGGTTGAAAGGGAACAATTATTTTGGGCTCAGATGTTTTAAGGAGCAGGTGTTAACCTGTTCCTGTGGGTAAGGGATGAGTAGGGAGTGATTGTATTGGGCTTAGATGTTACATATGCTTTAAGGGGTTCCCTGGTTGTAACACTCTCTGTATATTCTTGTTTATATAATGAAATACTTGTTGGAAAGTAGAAGATTGACTCTCTGATTGATCCTCCATAATTTTAGGTCCATCAGTTTAGGAAACTTAATTTCCTAGAATCATGGGATATCCTAGAATCATGKRATATTAATTGGAGAATCCCACTGATATRRAAATTAGTTTTTTAGGAAAAGTTAGTTTCCTATTTTATCACCCTGTAAGTTAGCTCTGTAATTCTATATAAAGCTGTGTATTTGCTCCTTCCAAGACAATACAATCAATTCATTTTTTCTCTCAAATTTTCACAATACTTTCTATAACGTATCAAAAAAAATGAATTGTCTGTTTTCTGCTCATGAGATGATGAGGCCAACACTGGATGATAGAATTTGTTTTTTGTTCTTTGTTTTTTTTATTGCAGAATTTTAGATAGAGAGGGACTTTCTGGAATGAAAGTCCACAAGGTGACAAAACATTGGGTGCAGATGAATTATCTATTACAAGAAATGTTGGTAGTTCTTGAATCTTGAATTAGGATATTATGAGAGTTTCGTAATAGTTTCATGCAAGATCCTCTGTCCCTCCCTTCCAAAAGTAGCTAATGCCACCTTCATCTCACTTATCCTTAAATCCAAAGTGTTGAAGATTTTAAAGACTATTGCCCCATTAACTTGATTAGTAGTAATTGTAAGATAATTTCAAAGGTTTTGGAAAATAGACTATGAGGAATACTGGGCAAATTTTATCTCCATTCCAAGGTGACTCTGTGGATTGCGGCCAAATTTTGGATGGGCCCTTTTTGCAAATGAATGCATTGATTCAAGGATCAATGAGGCACTCCAGGGTTAATATGT